GGTGAGGAAAAAGTAAACCAGGTGAAAATAAAATGGTGATGAGAAGCTAGCAACTCCCCTTTTAGGAGCAAAGATATGAACATATGAACTGTTGGACGCCAAAATTATGTCAGGTGTACTCCCTGCTGCAATAGTATCTTTATTATCTTGAACACCGCAATCGTTCACCATATTAATAATGAGTTACACACAAGATCGAGACGGCTGGATAAACATTTCAACAATCGTTATGAGGATGAAGTCAAACTTGATCGATCGAGATGTCTTCACAAGCAAAGGTGAAACCGATAGATCAGTTCGAGTCCGAGGACTACCCGTGGATGACGGGTTCTAACTTTAGATAACAGCAGTTGTCATAGGACACACCTTTCTTCAGGTTCCCAGGCTTGCACTGTGCCTTGGAGAACCTGTACCCCAATTTCTGGCAGTAGACTTTGCACGTGTTGTCCGTGCATGGTAAGATCTGGTTGCATACCCCTACACCTACAGTGCCAACACCATCGTCAGTATGCTGTCCATCCCATGTATGCATATATATACATGTATTATAAAACTGCTTAAAATTCACGAAAAACGTATAGCAATGATGACGTTAATGCATGTGAAGAGACATTGATGAAAACGTGACATGTATTATAAATCTATATATAGACATGTATTCTAAATCGACTTTTCGATATCCTAATATGCCTGCGAAGAGATGTTGATGACCATACCTTGTGCAACATAGCATGATGGCATGACCATTGCGGTCACCACAATGGCCGCCAAAAAGACAGCCCTCGGGTCCTTGAGAAGCACCATGGAGGATAGATACCCTTGGCAAGTAACAATTTGTTTTGTATTTAAGCCCTGGTTGTGAGTTTTGTGCTTGTGGTGGGAGTGCAAAGTGTCCTTGCTTGTGCTTATATAGAGAAAGCAAATCTGGTATGGAGTTAATGCTCACAAATCTATCATATACATGGCATCTATTTGCTGCTCATCCATCTATAGGAGGCTCCTATTTTTAGCCACTAGTTAGATTTTATATTTTTTGAGCTAAAGTTAGATTTATCTTAAATGACTGGCAGTGAAGACCGGACCCATGTTGGGCTGAGCAGGGGCCTAAGACCCCTTAGTAATTTTTTTATTTTTTCTACGCTGAAGCCCAATATTTTACTAGTTGGGCTCCAATTAGGTAAATTTCTGTGCCCCATTCATTTGGGCCCTCACTGAATTTGTGGGACACATGCCATCTAATTAAGTACGTACAATGTGATGGTGTTACTTATAGCGTCCAGGTTTCTTCAATCTGAACTCGGTGTTGATGCGGACCTGCTTTGGACTAGGCCTTCCGTGCACTTGTTAAAGAGAAAAAAAACATAGCTATATTGTGTACATTATTGTATGGATAACAATCCATGCGCTTTGATCAAACTAGATGATTCCTCCCATGTTGTTGTAGAAACACTAAATGAAAGGTAGTTATTGAAATAATATTACTGCATCCTAACATTTATTTTGTGAAGTTGGCAACTTAAGGGTTCAAGGATTTTTAAAATAAACTAAATTAATTTCTCAAATGAAAAAACATGTCAAGTAAGACTCTGAGATTAATATTTGATATTCTTTTTCATTTCCATAAACATATATCCAAAAAGTCTTATAAAATTGTGGAGTTTTTCAAGAAAAAATGCTTTATTATTTATGAATAGATCACACACCAGCCAATATTTGCATACACGTATTGCCTTCTTCAATTCATAGTTTCATTCTTTAATACATCCTAATGATCAATATTTGTTGTTCAATTTTTCATAGCACATGAATAGGATGACACGAATTTGTCTAAGATGCATGACATGGATAATTACCTGACTAATCATGATGTGGCGGACATGCATGACTTAGTGAGATGGGTGAGTGCATGGTTTCAGAATCTCTACTCCTAGAGGGGGAGTTGGTAGCCTGGTACCCCAGTTTATTTTTGTCCGGTTTTTTCGTTGCATCTCCCACCATCTCCTCCCACCCACATACGCCCCCCTACAAATTGTGTCTCCCCAGAGAACAACCAATCGATAGAAAGCTGCGGTCGCGCCTCCACCATGCATGGATGGCCCTGCGCCGGCAAGGCCCCCATCAGTCCCTCGCTTGATTCCGTCTGCCAGCTCATCCCGTCTGTGTGCCACCGACGCCTTTGGCGACGCTTGCGTCCTGGTGTCCGTCCCCTATCCCTTGGCATGGTTTCACCCGGCGTGGGCGGTGCCGCCAAGTCATGTCTGCCGTTCTAGAAGCCTTGACGGGTTGCTGATTTGAGGACACCGACCTGGGCTCTGATACGTCCATTTGGCATCATGTTTTCCTACTAATATTTATAATGTTTTTGGTCATTATTTCACTTTATGATGCTATTATAATCCCTTTTCTCTCTTAATTTGCAAGATTTACATGGAGAGGGAGATTGCCGGCAGCTGGAATTCTCGACCTGAAAAAGCTACAACAGAGACACCTATTCTACAGAGCTCCAAATGACCTGAAACTTCACATAGATTTTTTATGAAATATATAAAAATACTGGAGCAAAGAAATACCAGAGGGGGCCCACCAGTTACCCACAAGGCAACAGGGCGCGACCACCCCCTAGGCGCGCCCTGATGCCTTGTGGGGCCCATAGATGGTTTGCGGTACCCATCTTCTTCTATATGAAGCATCATCGTCTCAAGGCAGAACCTGGTCAGGAGCACTTTTGCTCTACGGCGGAGCGATTCCGTCGGGGATACTTCCCTCCGAGAGGGGGAAATCGAAGCCATTGACATCAGCAATGATCCTATCATCGTGGGAGGACCAATCTTCGTCAACATCTTCACCAACACCATCTCATCTCAAACCCTATTTCATCTCTTGTATTTAATTATGGTCCCAAAACCTCAGATTGGCACCTATGGGTTGCTAGTAGTGTTGATTACGTCTTGTAGTTGATGCTAGTTGGTTTATTTTGGGGGAAGCTTATATGTTCAGATCCTTAATGATATTCAATACCCCTCTGATCTTGAACATGAATATGATTTGTGATTAGTTACTTTTGTTTTTGAGGACACGGTAGAAGTCTTGTTATAAGTAACCATATGAAGTTGGTATTCGTTCGATATTTTGATGATATGTATGTTGTTGCTTTCTTTAGTGGTGTCATGTGAATCTCGAGTACGTGACACTTCATCATACTTGGGCCTAAGGGAAGGCATTGTGGAGTAATAAGTAGATGATGGTTTACTAGAGTGGTAGAAGCTTAAACCCTAGTTTATGTGTTATTCCGTAAGGGGCTAATTTGGATCCATATGTTTCATGCTATGGTTAGATTTATCTTAATTCTTCTTTCGTAGTTGCGGATGCTTGCAAGAGGGGGTAATCATAAGTGGGAAGCTGGTTCAATTAGGAACAACACCCATGCACCGGTCCACCCACATATCAAATTATCAAAGTAACGAACATGAATCAACTAAACATGATGAAAGTGACTAGATAATATTCCCATGCGTCCTCGAGAACGCTTTGCTTCATATAAGAGAACGTTCTGGGTTGTCCTTAGCTATGAAAAGGATTGGGCCACCTTACTGCATATTTTTTACTATTGCTACTTGTTACTTGTTATGAATTATCTTGCTATCAAACTATTTGTTGCCGCTACTTTCAGTACTTGTAGAGAATACCTTGGTGAAAACCGCTTATCATTTGCTTCTGCTCCTCGTTGGGTTCGACACTCTTACTTATCGAAAGGACTATGATTGATCGCCTATACTAGTGGGTCATCAGGCTCACAGGAGGCCATCCTCGCTAAGTTCCTGTAGGTTCTGCTCACCTACGTGCACTACCGTGCCGCCCCTGCCATCTACTACGAGCCTCTCTCGTTGCGAGCTGCAGAGCCTGTTCCCACCTCCCTTGAGGCAAGTTAGAATTTTATGATATGTTCTTAATCCATTCTTATTTTCATGTACTAACCAACAGGGTGACCCGCGCGTTTGCGCGGCTAGATATAGACATACTTTTGAACTCAATATTGGTTTTCCTGGAGATTTTGGCTCACAAGTCAACAATCATTCAAAATATAGCCAGAAAATGAAAATTTTGTGGAGAGATGGCGACATTCACTAAGGTCATGTTCACACATGAACTAAAAAGATAAAGGAAAATGAAATATCCTGGAATTGAGGTGTCATGTACCAACACAAACAGAAGAAAACATCCGACGCATCCTCTCCAATTTGTTTAATGAAAAGTCACATTACATTGAAACTTTAAAGTGATCTAAGATGGCTCTTCCTCTTTTCGAAATGATATCCTAGAAATTATCATATAGGAATCTTCTCCCTTGTACCCTACAAAAAGGGATGATTACCAAATGATTGATTGAATTGGTCTTCATGGCTTGACATGGAGACCACTGCTTTTTATGGTGATCTTCTACCTTTTCTCACCAAATCTTCCCCATCCATCGTTTTCTATCTTATGATCAATCTTTTTTAGAGAAATTGTTTACAAAAGATAAATTATGTAAAATTATGTTAACTCTTGACTAAACCAAGTGACCGCTTAGTCCGTACCTTGTATTAGATTACAGGGTTGTTTTTCTATGATATGTCATGTCTTCATATGCTTATGTGTCGACTCATCTTATTCTTATTGTCTATGTTGTTTGAATAGCGTCGAGATCCAACAATCTTATTCTCAGTTTATGTCACTGAGAATAATAAAAATATCCATGTCATTTTATTGTCATCCCACATGTCGATTTTAGCTTGAACTTACCGTAAATCTAGTTGACGGTTTTACATTTAAAAGATCATAAGGCATAGGTATTTATAGGTTTTGTAATATTTACAAAAATCAACTTCCGAAATTTTCTGCTTGGAATTTCATACTAAATTTGAGTTGTTATTCTCTATTACCTAATAAAATTATTTCTATCTAAATGAGTTGTAAATTAAATAGTATGATTTGTCACCTAATCAAATAGATTGTATCTAGTATTGTACATAGATTTTCTTGTGAAATTTCTCCAAAAAGAGATAAATATGCTAATGAAATGGATCAATTTAGATATAACTAACCACCATGTCTGATATTCCAAGTCAGTAAAGAGAACCGTTGAACCATGGAAGCATCTACATAGTGATGGAGCTTGAATGATTTTTACTAACATATGTGATAATAGCATCGCCAAAGTATCACTTTTTGGTGAATTATCTCTGAAGTATCCCTATACGCACTATGTGTACTCATATTGGGTGAGCTATTTTAGACGGGCTATTCATCTTTCCAAGTCGACTTTGTATGAATACTTAGATTTTGATCACAGTCTTTCTAATTTAGAATCCACCATATAATTAGTCGTGCAGATTACATTTCTTTGTGGATGGACATAGTAGCTTGGTTGCCTTCTTGGACATTATATTGTTTTTGCCTTCGAAGTATTTTAAGAAGTTGTTGATTTTACTTATAATAACTTAGATATAAATTTGACCAGAATTAAAACTTGCAAGATGAAAACTTGTAAACACATATATGGAGTGTACACGGATATAATCAAAGTTTGATGGCTTATTTTGTGCCACGTCAGATTGGTCGAGTGATAACTGCCAAGACGTCAGAGGCGATTACTGTATGCACCAGTGCCTTTAATCCACAGGGCACCATAGGCGTCTGTTGCATTAATTGTTTGATTTCCAAATTGATCCAGCATTCGATTTTCAAATTATTTTTGCATTGTCGGCTGCTACGGATGACAACTACATAAATATTCCTTTTGATAATAGGGATATTACACATTT